CACACCCAAACAATCGAAGGACTGTGGATGCTACTCAAACGGACAATTCGCCACGGATTGGGCACCAGCCGCGCACTATTGCCGTCATATTTGGGAGAATTCCAGTGGCGCCACTCCCACAAGCATCAGATTGTCGGCCATTATTTGGAAGTCCTACGTAAAAATTTTCACATCTAACCCTACCCCTAACCCTAATCCTAACCCTAACCCTAACCCTAACTAACCCTAATCATAACTCTAACCCTAACTAACCCTAACCCTAACCCAACCCCTAACGCCGCTAACCCTATCCCTAACCCTAGCCCAAACCCTACACCCTACGCCACCCTATGATGACTACGCAACCGTACACGCAACCGTATGATGATAGGTAAGTATGTCATTTGATTTGTGACTTTTCCGCTCCATGTTTGAAATGCAGCCAAGGGAGAGAACTCCCACTAAGCCGATCGGCGGCTTTCCAGCTACCCGCCTGTATTGAAAGAAGAGCCCAGTTGTAACCCAAATGGGTTGATATCATTGATTACACTGCTTTTACTATTTCCTAATTACATGTTGCATTTGTGTTACAAACATTGTGTTTTCGTGTAACATTTTTTACTTTTTCTTTTGAGGTTCTTTGCATTACATAACTGTCCCATTAAAAAAAATGTGTCACATGATCTTGTTCGTCATTCACATTGGTAATCTCTCTCCAGCCCACACTGTTGCTAGAATATCTTACCCCTCTAGATCATAGGCAGTTAATGGCTGAGTGGTTAGGCTGTTTGCCTCAAGCAGCGAGGTTGTCAGGTTCAAATCTTAGGAGAGGCCTGGATACTTATACCTGCATTATTGGTATCTAATGAAATCTTATAAGATCTTTTCATTTGTCATGTCGTCACATTAAACACCGAACCTTCTTAGATAAGGGTGACACAAATAGGAGAACTCAAGTGCAAATTGTGCACAAACAGTTGGAGATTGCAAATTGTGCACAAACTGTTGGAGATTGCAAATTGTGCACAAACAGTTGGAGATTGCAAATTGTGCACAAACAGTTAGAGATTGCAAATTGTGCACAAACAGTTGGAGATTGCTGCCAGGCTTGTATGAAATGCAGGATGACTGATACTGAGCCAGTGGGAAGAATGACTGATACTGAGCCAGTGGGAAGAATGACTGATACTGAGCCAGTGGGAAGAATGACTGATAATGAGCCAGTGGGAAGAATGACTGAATGCAGCAGCACACAAACTGAGAAGAAAAAAACATTCAACACTTTGTTCATCCTTATCAACAGTCAGGTTAATGAGGTATTCTTTCGCCTATTGTAGATATGTGAATCTGCATAATTTTTTTTGTGTGGATATCTTATCCTGCTCCATATTTTTACATTTATATTTTTGGAAATCAATTTTTCTTTAGTGTTTTCTCAAATTTGTAAACATTGAGTCTAGTGCATCTGACCAACAAAGTTGGAGGGATCTGATTGACAGAGGTGGAGGAATCTAATTGACAGAGGTGGAGGGATCTGATTGACAGAGGTGGAGGAATCTGACTGACAGAGGTGGAGGGATCTGACTGACAGAGGTGGAGGGATCGAGGAATGATTGACAGAGGTCTGGAGAGGATCTGACTGACAGAGGTGGAGGGATCTGACCGACAGAGGTGGAGGGATCTGATTGACAGAGGTGGAGGGATCTGATTGACAGAGGTGGAGGAATCTGATTGACAGAGGTGGAGGGATCTGATTGACAGAGGTGGAGGGATCTGACTGACAGAGGTGGAGGAATCTGATTGACAAAGGTCAAGGAATCTGATTGACAGAGGTGGAGGGATCTGACTGACAGAGGTGGAGGTATCTGACTGACAGAGGTGGAGGGATCTGACTGACAGAGGTGGAGGGATCTGACCGACAGAGGTGGAGGGATCTGACCGACAGAGGTGGAGGGATCTGACCGACAGAGGTGGAGAGATCTGATTGACAGAGGTGGAGGGATCTGACCGACAGAGGTGGAGGGATCTGACTGACAGAGGTGGAGGGATCTGATTGACAGAGGTGGAAGGATCTGATCAACAGAGGCGGAGGGATCTGATCGACAGAGGTGGAGGGATCTGATTGACAGAGGTGGAGGGATCTGACTGACAGAGGTGGAGGAATCTGATTGACAAAGGTCAAGGAATCTGATTGACAGAGGTGGAGGGATCTGATTGACAGGTGGAGGAATCTGATTGACAGGTGAAGGGATCTGATTGACAGAGGTAGAGGGATCTGACTGACAGAGGTGGAGGGATCTGATTGACAGAGGTGAAGGGGTCTGATTGACAGAGGTGGAGGGATCGGACCGACAGATGTGGAGTGGTATGACAGGTGGAGGGATCTGACTGAAAGATGTGGAGGGATCTAATTGACAGTGGTGGACAGATCTGATTGACAGGGGTTGGACTTTACTGATCGAGGTGGAGGGATCTGATCGACAGAGGTGGAGGTATCTGATTGACAGAGTTGGAGGGATCTGACCGACATAGGTGGAGGGATTTGACCGACAGAGATGGGGAAGGCTCTGATTGACAGAGGTGGGATCTTCCACCAAGGTGGAAGGATCTGATCAACCAAGGTGGAGGGATCTGATCAACCAAGGTAGAGGGATCTGATCAACCAAGGTGGAGGGATCTGATCAATAGAGGCGAAGTGGTTTGACAGACAGAGGTGAAGGTATCTGATCAGACTGTCGACAGCAGCTGGCGACCCTAACACTTGCAGTGTTATGGAATTATGATAGGGAGGCTTCTCAGTTTAAATTTTAGTGTTGCCATGGACAAATTATCAGGAAAGTGAACCCACCCATGGTTAGGTGAATCTCAGAGCCCACTTTCTTGAATGTAATTTCTGAAGTAGTAGTCAGTATTATGTGATTCTGATCGGAGGCTGGACAGACACTGCTATCCTATTTGTGAGGGCAAGATAGTAGATATTATAACCAACTTTGTATTGGGGAGGGGGGGAAACAGTCATAGAAATACCCTGGGGTGTCTGCTGCATCTGAGGGTTGAGCATTCCTGGGAATGTCCAATATGGTGAAGTTTATTATGATAACATAACATTTATCTATCGGCTAAGAGGTCTGGGGTTTGGATCTTATAGTCATTGAATGAAGATAGCCCTGATTCCTCAGTCACTAGATGCTTGCCTGTCAGCTCACACACAGTCTCTTGTTTGTATCTGCATCAGCTCTAATTGAACATAATTTAGTCATTCCTGCTCTCTTTTTAATTTATGTTTCATTTCTATCATCAACTCTTATTAAGTGTCCAGAATAGGATATACTTATTGTCACATATCGCTCCTGTCACGTGCCTAATTTAAGGATTTCTCCTTAAGAACCAACAGCACTCTGAAATAATTATGTTGAGTCGTTGGCTCGTATTGGTCTAAGGGATATCCCGTGGCCAATATACGCTCAGCTTATTTCCGGAGTAGGGCAAATCAAGCTTTGGCACTACAAAATATATAATATTCCTAGGCACACTTGGCTGGACACCCCCACTACTATAAAAAGGTAGCCCCCAGGTTATGATAGTATACTATCATAACCATGTTAACACAGATTACACTTATTACTCACACCAACATAAAAGCTAGACATTTAGAATGGTGAAACAGGGACACCCAAGTCAGCCATGAAAATATTTGCATGTAATGAGTACATCATAAATACAAAAATAAATGAATTGATAATCAAGAGTGATCAGTTAATGGAGTTCAGGAATTAATGACACAACCCAGATATTGAAGCAGCCAGATACAGTTTGTTGAGGGTACATGAGTTCGTCATCGAAATCACAGGGTGCTGTGGGAAGAGAGCATGATTGTAATTAATAGATCACTTATCCCAGTTCATAGGTCCCTGCTCTCCTCAGTCCATGGGGATTTGGCTGTGGTTGACTCAACAGGTAGCTATGCCTCGATTTGATCTGGTACAAGTTGACTGTCTTACAAGCGAGGACACGGGAACTGCATAGGAACCCAACAAGACTCTTGGAGATTGTAGTGCCCGTAAAGCTTATTGTAAAGCTCACTTCCGGTCAAAATGGAAGCTAGGCATGGTCACTGTTTTGAGTCGTGGCAAATTTTTTGCGTCTGCCAGACGGTGGCCATTGCATTTTTCCTCCATTTGTAGACTGAAAGGATATAGTTTGGTTGCCTAGCTACTGAGTTGAGTGCGTGGCTTGACACTGTGAGCTGCAGATTTCATTTGGAATATTTTTAGACCAACATGGTGTGAACTGTACATTCAGAAAATGGCGCGTGGTCTGTCGTCGCAATATCAGTGGTGCCCTTATGTGATTAAAATTTATCGCGTGTGCAACTGCTGATCTGTTGGTAACTTGCTACCGTCGATGATGAACTGCATTTCTAATGTCGGACTGTTTGTGTTAGCACTTCTGATGGTTACCATATGCTTTTAATGCTTGAGTATGCTAGGGCATTTGCTAAGACAGCAATCTGTCAATTTTCCCACAAGGGACTGTGATGAACATTTTGTGTGTTTTTCATTGGCACATGAGGGGAGCAACTATGGTGTGACCTGTTTGCTATGAAGCTGAAACTAAGATTACCAAAATTACCAAGTTTGTAAAGTTCATTGTTGGTCACTTTTTTCCATTGTTAATTACTGTAATTTTTTTTTCTTCGAATGTTAATGTCTAACCCATACTCTGTACTCTGCCTGTTGACTTGAACATTAAGTCAGGGCTATTCAACTGACAGCCTGAGGGTTAGATTTGGCCCGCTGAGGCCTAACAAGTGACCCACGGATCATTGCCAGTTATATTGTATTAAGATCTTTCTATGCTGGGGCTCGGGTCTCTGGCCTGTGACGATCCCCATTTTCATTATTTTGGCCCTTTAGTAAACTTAGTGGAATAGCCCTGCACTAGGTCATGGGGTAGAGGTCAAGCAACCAACAGTTCTCGTCTAGGAGTGGTTTTATTGATTTGATATTTTCTTTTGTTAGGGTCCATCAGACTTCTACCAGAGGCACTGTCAGAGAACATGGGGTAGAGGATGCTGATGCTGACTACTCCTCAGGCGCTGACGTTGATGCTGCATGCAGCCAACAGGATCTTGCTGGTGTAGATCATAGATTGAAGTCTTTGTTAACTCATGCAGCACAGCCCACAACCCCTGAAAGAGAAAATAGAAATGACAGCTGTGCAACAAAAACTCGATATAGTGATCGGTCATACAAAGAATTTTTGATTGGCCGGCGTAAGCATAGGTCTCAGTCACTGGCCAGCGTTATAAAAACTGAATACATAGATAACCCAGCACTGTGCAACCTGGCAGAGTTGGATTCTGATGACAATCTGGATGAGTACTCACTGAAGGAGACCAGAAGGAAGAGAGAGGGCAGGGAATTGAAGAAGACTTTATCATTACAGAAAATGGCTGATCACCAGGAGGGAACATTGTCTGAGGATTTTAGTGTGTTGAGCATTCATGACCAGTTAGATCATTCTCATTTTAATGGACTAGTTCTGGACGGATCTGGCCGATTGTCACACTCAAAGATCAGACCTGTCCCTTCACTTTTCATGAATCCCAAGCTAGAAGGTACATTTCAGAACCTCCAAAGTGCCCACAAGACAGAGACGAATTCCATTCAAGTTTTTCTTTGCTGATCAACTTGGGTACAGAAGCTAAGAAAGACAAAGAAAAGAAAATGGCATCTTACAAGAGACAAATGAGTGTGGAGCTTGAGCAGTGGAGAACAACAATCATAGAACAAATCTGGCTAGAGTTGCGAGCTTACCTTGGAGGCAAATCCCCAGAGGAGCATTTCCGCCTTCTGAAGATAGAAAGACAGGAAAGTGAGAAAGTTATAGATGATATTAACAACTTTTGCTTTGCCGATACTGTGTTAGAGGAAAACACAGATGGTTCCTTCCTTTGTGACTTCAAATCAAATAATGCAGCAGTGAAAAGAAACAACAGCTCTTATAGAGAATTAGTTTCCAGAAGTGTCTCTGCCTCTTTCATTGATTTGAATTTAACAGATGAAACTGTATGCCTGCAGGAGAAGGCGCTTTTTCAAATGCAGAATTTATTGAACAAGCTCGATCACTACGAAAGTTGCTTTAGTACTACAGAAGCATGTATGAAAGATAATGCTAAATTCAGGGATCCTAGCTTCCAACGCAGGGTAAAGTGTCTGAATCTGTGGCTAAACATCACCTGTGATTTGTGCCAAAAGCTGAAACTCTTTGGCCGTATAATAGGGGCACATTCGCGAGGAATACAGTGGCCATTTGTGAATTTTGAATTTCCCAAACCTCATACTGACGATTTTCTTACGCGTCAGAAAGATAGTAATATACCACGTTTAGTAGAAACGGAGCATTCAGAGTCATCTGATAATGAAGAGACTAATATAGATGTAGAAGAATATGAAGAGGAGCAGGTGGAAGACGAAGAAGAAGAAGATTGTGGTCGGGGCACCAGCTGTGATGAGGCCCCGGAAGATGATACCAGAAGCTTGCTCAGCCCCAGTCTGAAGCAAGTCAAGTTCCAATGTGGCGATGACAGCAGTGGCCACAGTTCGCCAGTCACAACACCAGTCCGTCACAGTGCATCTGCCCCGGTCAGCGCTAGCACGCCAGTTCACTTCTCAGCACAAGCAAGCAGCAATCTCACTAATACAGGAGCTTCTGTGCTGAGTTTGTCTCGTGCTTCCAGTGAGGTCAGCTTAGACGACAGCCGGACCTTCAGGTCTTCCATTTACAGACATTATGCTGAAAAGTGCTTACGTAAAATGGGTTTGCAGAAACTGAATGTTAGGTTGAGGGACCTGTTCCATGGTAGCCTCAGTAGGGCTAAAGAAGCACTGGAGAGACCCAAGGAGACTACATATTCTGATATTGGAGTGCAAGTGGATGAGCAGGTCAGTTTGGTCTTTTTTCTTGTGGTCAGGATTATAAATTACAAAGTACATTTCTACTTTCCTGTATTTATATGTATGTGTGCACGCGTGTGTGTGAGTACGCACATGAAAGGGAGAGGAGAGAGAGAGCATATAAGAGTAGTTGTACATGTGTATGTTGTCAGTGTGTATGAATGTGTATGTATGATGTGTATATGCATTATTCCATTATGTATATATTTTTTTAAACATAACATGCATTATTGATAACATGCAGTTGTGGTGTGAAAGATGAGTGCTTGGAAGGGTTGATTGTAAGACGGGCCTGCGTGCCTAATTTGTAACCCTTTGAAAATAAAGTTTGTTCATTCATTCCCCCTCAGCCTCACCCTGCTGTTACTTCTTCTTCGCCTCATCCATCTCCACCTCATCCTCCTCCTCCTCTTCTTGTCATTTTTATCTTTGTCACGTTTTCTTCATCTTGTTTTTTTTTCCTTCATTATTTGTCTTGATCTGTATCTTCTTCTTGATCTTGTTCTTCCTCCTCTTCTTTGTCTCTTTTTTCTGTATTATCTTCTTGTTGTTCTTTATCATCTTCTTCACCATCTGAACCTTCATAACCTCCTCTTCCTAGAAAGCTGCTAGAGAACATTTTTCTGTCCCCAAAAGTTGTCATCTTGTGTCTTGCCTATTCTTGTGTCCCACTGAGGGTTGAACAAGTTCAGATACTACCAAACAATGAGAGGTTAAACACTTCAGGAAATGGAGGCAGTGCACATTTTGTTTTTGAGAAAGGTATTCACATAAATTTTGTAAATGCTCAAGTAGAAACACTGACTATTCTCACCAGAGAATTCAACAAGCATACATTATTTGTATTACTGTAATGTATATTCATCATTTAAAAAACAAAAAACAAAACAACAGCAACAACAAACTAGGGTATTTAATTATAATTGAATTCAACATGTCAAAGTCAATAAGAAATAGTGTATTTAAATTCTGAAACAAAGTTTTGAAAATGTGTTGACAAGTGTAATCTGCACGCTTATTGACATGAACACCTGCATGGCCTGACATAAAGATAGAGGATAAGGAAGCTGGCCTGGATTGTCTTGAGAATATCCATGGAATAGTTCAGTATAGAAATGTATCTTGTGTGTGAAACAGTTTGGCATTTTTGTTCTCCTGGAGGCTACAGTGTATTCAGTAAACAAAATAAATGTGATTCTCTACTTTTTAAAATTTCATCTTGCTGCTGATATTTCACAGGCCACTGAACATGATGATGTTGTATGCCGGACATCTTCATCAGCTTCTTCTGAAAGCAGTTCAAATCCACAAGTTGCCAGAGGCAGCAGTCTGTCTGAACATGGAGAATGGAGCTCACAATTTATATTGATGGGTCTACCATCATTCCGACCCACTTACCTGTTTATAGTGCGGATACAGTTAGATGTCATTCATGAATGTTTGAAGCTGCGGAAGGACCAGCGGCCAATAGGGGACCCTTCATTCCTTAGTATACGACAGGTCAGTTGTGTCATTTGTTAATTGGCTTTAGAGAGCCAGGCCTTCTTAAGGACCTTAAGATTAGAAGAGAAGAGGCCATATTTGTGCTGTAAACTGCTTTCTAGTGTAGAGGCTAAACCGACGCCTTCTTCAGCTGTTGGGCTATGGTGCTGACATCATCAGATTGACGCTACATTACCGACCTGGGCTAACGAAACGTTACGTTTTTACTCTGACAGTCCTATTTTTCTGTGTGCTCCCTGCCGTCCCCTGAGTACTTCCCACAAAAATTCTAGGAATAAGCTTCAGAATAGAACTCAAAAACATGTATACACACATATACAAACTAAAACGGAACACTGGAGAAAATAATTTTAATATTAATTAATTAGTATAGGTTAATAGGCTTATATATTCTCTGTAATCTCATCTTCTCAAAATGTATTTGTTCCCTAATAAAAAGTAATAATAAATGAATTATTTTTTATACGGGTGGGGGTAAGTGTGGTGAAGGTGATGGAAGGGGGGGGGGGTGTCCACCCAGTATATGTGCAGTGTTTTTCTTGTCCACCTGGTATGTTTGTAATATTATCCTTGTCCACCTGGTATGTTTGCAATATTATCCTTGTCCACCTGGTATGTTTGCAATATTATCCTTGTCCACCTGGTATGTTTGCAATATTATCCTTGTCCACCTGGTATGTTTGCAATATTATCCTTGTCCACCTGGTATGTTTGCAATATTATCCTTGTCCACCTGGTATGTTTGCAATATTATCCTTGTCCACCTGGTATGTTTGCAATATTATCCTTGTCCACCTGGTATGTTTGCAATATTATCCTTGTCCACCTGGTATGTTTGTAATATTATCCTTGTCCACCTGGTATGTTTGCAATATTATCCTTGTCCACCTGGTATGTTTGTAATATTATCCTTGTCCACCTGGTATGTTTGCAATATTATCCTTGTCCACCTGGTATGTTTGTAATATTATCCTTGTCCACCTGGTATGTTTGCAATATTATCCTTGTCCACCTGGTGTGTTTGTAATATTATCCTTGTCCACCTGGTATGTTTGTAATATTATCCTTGTCCACCTGGTGTGTTTGTAATATTATCCTTGTCCACCTGGTATGTTTGTAATATTATCCTTGTCCACCTGGTGTGTTTGTAATATTATCCTTGTCCACCTGGTATGTTTGCAATATTATCCTTGTCCACCTGGTGTGTTTGTAATATTATCCTTGTCCACCTGGTATGTTTGTAATATTATCCTTGTCCACCCATTTTCAACTCAAAATAGTGGTGGGATGTCCCGTTTTCAGTCCAAGATATTGTGGTCACCATATATAGAAATTATGGGGAAATAAAATAACAAGGGCGTTAGTTTGAACAACATAGAATCACAAACTACAAACTAAACTACAACAGAAACTACTTAGATTTTAGCTTGTGAGTATCCACATAAGCCACATCAAATATTGCAGTAATATCCACATATACTTCAAGTGTTCCAATATCCACATGTGTGGATAAATGAAAGTAACCACTCAGACTATCACCTAGAGTATACAGTAATTTAATATGCTGATAATTAGTGAGTGAACAGCTATCTTTCAGTTTCTTTTCAATTTTAGCCATCTTTCTCTTCTAAGCATCCAAAGAAAAAATTTAAACACATTCATATATCTGCTAGAAGTATAACAAGAGAGATGTTAGGACAGTTTAGCATCATGACAGGAAGGCAGACCTAGCAAGAGAGATATTAGGACAGTTTAGCATCATGACAGGAAGGGATACATAACAAGAGTGATGTTAAGACAGTTTACCATCATGACAGGAAAGAACACCTATTTCAGAAAAAATGGTATATGAGACAGAAAGCTGTAGATAGATATGATGGCCAGTGCTACACGGCCTGGACTATAGGCAATATTTAACTGTAGTAAATTGATGGTGTTAATTCAATAATAGTGTGTTGAGATATGATGACCAACGCTGCACGGCCTGGAATATAGGTAGTATTTAGCTGTAGTAAATTAATGCTGTTAATTTGTCTGTCTTCAGTTGATCCGTGAATGTAAGGAAGTCCTAAAAGGAGCAACTCTAGTCAAGCAATACTACCATTACATGGTGGCTGCCGTGATGTGGGATGAGGAGTTAGAGGCGGAGAGCAAGTTTGAGGCAGATCTGACTGAATTTGACGAGGATATGAAGAGTATGCTTGATGTAAGACGCTTTTTTAAAATTCTCTTTTCTTTTGATATATGTGTGTGTGCACATGCGTGTGTGTGTGGACACACACGTGCATGCATATGTGTGGGCTGGTTTGGTGGGTTATATTTGTTATGTTAAACTGAACTTTTATTAGAGTCTTGGCAAACTTACAGGTGCTTAGTCCGCCCAAAGAATGTTCGTATTAGATTTGTATTTTAGAAGCTTATTAATTTCAAAATTTCAATGACTGTTATAGATCTGTTTGATCTGTATATTTGAGAACTGTGCTGGCAGCTGAAGAAAAGAAAACGATACTCTGCATCGTTAGATAGAATATTCCTACATGTATAGAACATTGCTTTATGCATAGAACATTCCTTTGTGCACAGAATATTCCTATATGTATAGAATGCTCCTTTATTCATAGAATATTCCTTTATGCATAGAACATTCCTTTATGCCTAGAACATTCCTTAAAGCAAAAAAACATTCTGATATGTATAGAACATTCCTTTGTGTACAGAACATTCCTTTATGCCCAGAACATCCCATGATACCTAGCTGACAGTGAGTTCTTGTTAGGTTGTTATCACAATCATCATCACTCCACACTGGACATTGCCATGTGTATTTAGTCCTCTGATGCAGCAGCCATCATGATATATTTTGCTGACTGTTCTGTACTAAATTTGGTTATAAAGTCCCCTTTCTCGACCTTGAAAACAGCATAGATATTCTTGGCCAGATTACACACAGCTCTTAACTGGGTGATCACCAAGAGACTGGCTCTTGTCCATCTCCAGGCAGCATTGATTATATCAGCCATGACCATTCTCCTTCCCATTTGTGTTAGTGCATTACTTGCCCATGGTCCATACTCGAGTGATAGAGGTCCTGGGCTCAGGCCCCAGTGTAGGCTGGGATTTTTTCACGTGGCCTTCTAGTAATTTTCCCTGGTATCTGGGTAGTAAGACCGGATGTCCGTGTGTATTGTTGCGCACGTAAACAATCCTTTGGCAGTTGGAATTTGAAAAGAATAACCAAATATTCTGGACAAAATTTAGAGTTAAACATCCACCCAAATATTTCAGGATTCTCACTGGTTCTACGGAGTTCATGCACTGTGCTGAGATTCTTCGGACTCAGGCTTGGTTAGAAGTAGAACAGAGCACTTAAGATTACTACCGTTGTGCTATGATGTTGGTCATTGTATAAACCAAACCAAACCAAACCATCACCTTTAACTTCAACATGTTGAATTCTTGTTATTTGACATGTGCTTTGGATATTATCAAGAACAAGAACATAATTATGAGAGTCTAAAAAGCTTGGGCTAACTCCATGTCGAAAGTCGAGAGAATTACATTCAGTAGAGCGGAGTGGAGTAATCAAATGTACAAGATGCTAGTTCCATACCTTTAGACTGATCAGCCCTTGTTTAGAAACATCAAGTTGGCCCTTTTACCTCCCATCACAATTTTTTTTTATACCTACTTTTAGACCGGCCAGCCTGAAAGCCCAGATCAGTGAAAAAATACCAGACTCAAAATGATTTAAACACGTGGCCACTGAATGGACAGACAGGTGGTCTAGCAACTAAGCCACTACTATTGACTCTAAATCGATGGGATGTATTAATAATAAATTGTATGTGCTCAGAAACATGCCAGATTGAAACAGAAAAGGGCTGAAGGATTCAGCACAGTGAACTATGTTGAAGGTTCAAAGGTTATCAGATCTGTTGACAGCTTTTGATGTCTATGTGTGTGTACATGTGCGCACATGTGTACATGTCTACCACACATACACATATAAGCACACACACATTTGTCCCTACATATGTTCTTTGGTGTCATAATTTGTAGATAAACTAGTTACAGTGACAGTTCTGATATGGACAAACTGGAGGTCATAAAGTCGTAGTTCTGATTTGTTCAAGTGGTGATTTCCTGTGATAACTAGGATCTGGTGCTGTGGTAGTGTAGTGGTTAGTGCACTGGCATATCAGAATGTAGGCCAGTGGTTCAGTCCACGGTGGTAGCAGGTACTCTTTGTCCGATCAATCTCTTGGGGCTTGTGTGTTCCCAGTCCATAATGGAAGCCTTTAACTAACCTATCGTATGTTCCCAGAACCTATAATGGAAGCCTTTAACTAACCTCTCACGTATTCCCTTGGCCTAAAAGGAAAGCCTTTACTAACCTCTCATATGTTCCCAGAGCCTATAAAAGAAGCTTTTACTAACCTCTCATATGTTCCCAGAGCCTATAAAGGAAGCCTTTACTAACCTCTCATATGTTCCCAGAGCCTATAAAAGAAGCCTTTACTAACCTCTTATATGTTCCCAGAGCCTATAAAAGAAACCTTTACTAACCTCTCATATGTTCCCAGAGCCTATAAAAGAAGCTTTTACTAACCTCTTATATGTTCCCAGAGCCTATAAAGGAAGCCTTCACTAACCTTTCATATGTTCCCAGAGCCTATAAACCAAGCTTTTACTAACCTCTCATATGTTCCCAGAGCCTATAAAGGAAGCCTTCACTAACCTCTCATATGTTCCCAGAGCCTATAAAGGAAGCCTTCACTAACCTCTCATATGTTCCCAGAGCCTATAAAGGAAGCCTTTACTAACCTCTATGTTCCCAGAGTTTCCGGTGTAAACAGTCATGATGGCGGGACACCTTTTTCATCCATTAGGACGAAGGATGTTTTCGCCGCTAGTTATGAGTTTAATGTAATATTCGGAGCATAACGGGGTTTTAGGCCGTGCTACGGAGTTTGTGCACGAGTGCCTATTCTCCTTTCGGCGTTTCATCAGCGTCTGTGATGAAATTTCATTCATTGAAACCCAGCGGCGGACTACAAGGACAAAAATCGACAAGCGTGCCGTTGCTGGCTGGAAACGTTTAAAATGTGACAGGCTTAGCCTAAAATATGTTCGCGTGTTATACTGGAACTGTGCCTCGTTTAATTAGAGACAGCTCATTTTTGAAAAGTTTCTCTACGGCAATAACATCGTAGCCTTACAGGAAACACATCTAGGAAACAAGACAGTTAAAGGGTTTTCAGTGCTTCTACAACCGGCGGCATCTCGGTCAGGTCATTATGGTTTGCGACAGCTTGATAGTGACCGAAATTGATATGTCTGACTGGAACACTGACATCCTGCAGGTGCTTTCAGTAAGAGTGCTGGCCCAGCCCAATTCACGATCATCAATGTTTACGCCTGTAACAGAAAGGTCGACGCGCGGTAGTGGCAACGTTTGTTTGCACCCGAGGAAAGAAACATCATTTATTGCGGAGACTTTAACGCCAGGGGCAGCCAGTGACTTAATGTCATCATCAATAAACAGAGAGAAGATCTGGAGAAGGCCCTGGTATCTGCTGAACTGGTATATTTAAATGACGTACAAGTCACTAGAATAGCCACTCGACCAGGTGACTCTGACAGTGTGATTGACTTGGCTCTAGTGTCGCCCACCATCGCCCCTGTTTGTAGATGGAGTACACTGGGGTACCGTGATAGCAACCACCTGCCCTGTGTTGTCTTGGTTGAGAAGAACGGAAAAAGCAGTCAGATAAGCAGAATAAATTCTTACCAGTATGATAACAGGACAGGATGCTATCAGAAAAGTTAGACGCTGCAAAGTAAATACCTTCCACAGACAGAGAAAGAAATGGACTCAGCCACCGTAGTGGGATGAAGAGATTTCAGTATTACAACTGAGACCATAGGACGACACTGAAGAAATCGCCAACACCTCACCAGACCCCGACGGCGTCCAGTAAGCTGATATGCTGCAGATGTCAGAGGACGATATGTCAGAACTGGCAGGAGAGTTCAAAGTCAGCATCAGAAGTGGTCAACTCTGAGAGGAGTGGCTACACAGCTACCTACTACAGTTACTAAAACCAAATAAAGACTATTCCAAGATCAGTGGCTACAGAATCATTACCATGCAGAACACTGCAGGCAAGCTTCTGGAGACAATTGTAGCAAGTAGACTTGCTGATGACTTGGAAAAGCATGACAGGTAACCATCCACACTTGGAGGATACAGATGAAGCAGAGAGACATGGCTCAATGCAGCAGTCTTCGCCTGTGAAGTCTATGAAGGTTTTCACATGAGAGAAGAGACATGGCTCAATGCAGCAGTCTTCGCCTGTGAAGTCAGTGAAGGTTTTCAGATGACAGAAGAGACATGGCTCAATGCAGCAGTCTTCGCCTGTGAAGTCAGTGAAGGTTTTCAGATGACAGAAGAGACATGGCTCAATGCAGCAGTCTTCGCCTGTGAAGTCTATGAAGGTTTTCACATGAGAGAAGAGACATGGCTCAATGAAGCAGTCTTCGCCTGTGAAGTCAGTGAAGGTTTTCACATGAGAGAAGAGACATGGCTCAATGCAGCAGTCTTCGCCTGTGAAGTCTATGAAGGTTTTCAGATGACAGAAGAGACATGGCTCAATGCAGCAGTCTTCGCCTGTGAAGTCAGTGAAGGTTTTCAGATGAGAGAAGAGACATGTGCAGCTGCACTAGACTTAGAGGACACGTACAACAGAGTACCATTTGAATACTTTTTGCACAAACTTCTCCAACTGCAAGTATCTCCCTCCTTCACCCGCTGGGTAGCTGCAGCACTGTTTCAGAGATGGTTGTTGGTCCTCAGAAACGATAACCAAATTTTCAGGATTGCCTCAAAGTTCTCCGCTGTCTCCAGTGCTATTCAACGTGTACACAGTGCTGATAACTGAGCAGCAGTTGCGTGGGAGTGGCAGGACCTTGTTATTTGCTGATAACGTCTTGGTATGTCGACATGTAAGAGATGGTCAAGAGATTGCCAAGTCAATGCAGAGTGAACTTAATTGCATCTCCTCCTGGTGTGCAGATTCTAATGCTCTTGTCAACCCTTCGAAGGCCTCAGTAACGTGGTTCTCCTTGAACATGCATATTGTGAAGGTAGACTTACCAGCAGTGGAAAGCAGCAAGGAAATTTTGACAAGAACAAATCTGATGACATACCTCCAAGTGAAATTTGATCGCAGGCTGTCCTTCAAAGAACACGCAAAAGCCTGTCAGCAATGACGGTCCTGGCCGCCGCTAACATGTTGATGTCAAGAATTGACAATATAGAGAACTAAGTTGTTGTTGATGTCAAGAATTGACAATATAGAGAACTAAGTTGTTTTGATGTCAAGAATTGACAATTTAGAGAACTAAGTTGTTGTTGATGTCAAGAATTGACAATATAGAGAACTAAGTTGTTGTTGATGTCAAGAATTGACAATATAGAGAACTAAGTTGGTGTTATGTCAAGAATTGACAATATAGAGAACTAAGTTGGTGCTCATTTGCAGACCTAGTTTGTTCATTTGCAGACCTAGAGTGCTCATTTGCGGACCTAGGTTGCTCATTTACAGACCTAGATTGCTCATTTGCAGACCTAAGTTGCTCATTTGCAGACCTAAGGTGCTCATTTGCAGAAAACGTTGTATTAAGCCTGTTCTATCTTGTTTAGGTGTATTTTGGATACCTGCAGAGCTGGATCCACATGTTGCAGGCCTTACCAGAAGCTTCACTGGGCATGAAAAGTGCGTTGGAAGAGGAGTGGACATATACCAAGTCCATCTGTGCCTATGTTATTGGAGGAGAGGCTGAAGCAGGGAAGAAGTTCAGGTAGGTGTTGAGTTGCAGGGGTCAATTCATGACTTTACCTTGAAGGAAAACTATTGACCTTCTGGCACAGCATTTCCCAGTAAAATGTAACATTACTGTTTACCCTCTTCTATCTTCTTCACTTCTTCTTTTACTGTTTTGGGTGTCGAGGGAGATATCAGGTTCTGCTTCTTGCTCTTATGGTGGCCTCGACCATTGACACATCATGCTCTTGTAGAGTTTCTCTCCTGTTATCTTTCTGTATTTTGTTGGTCTGCCTCATGCTCTTCGTCCATTTCCTTTGGTAGCAGCAAGTCAAGAGAAACAAGCCATTAGCAGTATACAGTGAGAAGAAACAAGCCATTAGCAGCATACAGTGTAGAGAAACAAGCCATTAGCAGCATACAGTGAAAAGAAACAAGCCATTAGCAGCATACAGTGTAGAGAAACAAGCCATTAGCAGCATACAGTGAAAAAAAACAAGCCATTAGCAGCATACAGTGAAAAGAAACAAGCCATTAGCAGCATACAATGAAGAGAAACAAGCCATTAGCAGCATACAGTGAAGAGAAACAAGCCATTAGCAGCATACAGTGAAAAGAAACAAGCCATTAGCAGCATACAGTGAAGAGAAACAAGCCATTAGCAGCATACAGTGAAGAGAAACAAGCCATTAGCAGCATACAATGAAGAGAAACAAGCCATTAGCAGCATACAGTGAAGATAAACAACCATTAGCAGCATACAGTGAAGAGAAACAAGCCATTAGCAGCCTACAGTGAAGAGAAACAAGCCATTAGCAGCATACAGTGAAGAGAAACAAGCCATTAGCAGCATACAGTGAAGAGAAACAAGCCATTAGCAGCATACAATGAAGAGAAACAAGCCATTAGCAGCATACAGTGAAGACAAACAACCATTAGCAGCATACAGTGAAGAGAAACAAGCCATTAGCAGCATACAATGAAGAGAAACAAGCCATTAGCAGCATACAGTGAAGAGAAACAAGCCATTAGCAGCATACAGTGAAGAGAAACAAGCCATTAGCAGCATACAGTGAAGAGAAACAAGCCATTAGCAGCATACAGTGAAAAGAAACAAGCCATTAGCAGCATACAGTGAAGAGAAACAAGCCATTAGCAGCATACAGTGAAGAGAAACAAGCCATTAGCAGCATACAATGAAGAGAAACAACCATTAGCAGCATACAATGAAGAGAAACAAGCCATTAGCAGCATACAGTGAAGAGAAACAAGCCATTAGCAGCATACAGTGAAGATAAACAACCATTAGCAGCATACAGTGAAGATAAACAAGCCATTAGCAGCATACAGTGAAGATAAACAAGCCATTAGCAGCATACAGTGAAGAGAAACAACCATTAGCAGCATACAGTGAAGAGAAACAAGCCATTAGCAGCATACAATGAAGAGAAACAACCATTAGCAGCATACAATGAAGAGAAACAAGCCATTAGCAGCATACAATGAAGAGAAACAAGCCATTAGCAGCATACAGTGAAGAGAAACAACCATTAGCAGCATACAGTGAAGAGAAACAAGCCATTAGCAGCATACAGTGAAGAGAAACAAGCCATTAGCAGCCTACAATGAAGAGAAACAAGCCATTAGCAGCATACAGTGAAGAGAAACAAGCCATTAGCAGCATACAGTGAAGAGAAACAACCATTAGCAGCAATCAGTGAAGAGAAACAAGCCATTAGCAGCCTACAATGAAGAGAAACAAGCCATTAGCAGCGTACAATAAAGAGAAACAAGCCATTAGCAGCGTACAATAAAGAGAAACAAGCCATTAGCAGTGTACAATAAAGAGAAACAAGCCATTAGCAACATACAGTGAAGAGAAACAAGCCATTAGCAACATACAGTGAAGAGAAACAACCATTAGCAGCATACAGTTCAACAGAAACAAGCCATTAGCAGCATACAGTGAAGTGAAACAAATTGTTACCATTAAAGATTGTTTTGAGAAACAGGTTGTAGTCCAGTACTCAGTGGATGCTTGTTAGATGTGTTCTTAGAGGGTAACATATTCTATTAAGCACCCAGGGTGTATTACTTGCTTCAGTCACATACTAGAGCTCCCTCAGATGACAAACAGCTGTTAGGTTCCTAAGAAGAGCAAGGAGAGGCCAATGACAATAGGAACACCACCATAAGCCCAACACAAGTAAAGTATCCTATGGTAACCACCAACATTCTCTACAAGTGCTGTAATATAATACACCACACCATTTATGACCTTATACTGCAATCAGTCTCGTTATTATAGACAAACACATTGTGACGAAGATGAGTTGGGGATCAGTGACTCACTGTCCAATGTACTACTTCCTGCCAAGTAAACTCACATCGGCAGTCTCTCCAGATATGTACAGTACTTCTCAGCAAAATATGGACAAGACGGCTTTTACTGATTACTCAAGCCCGATCGTGCAGATACACCCACGTGATGTGCAGTGAAAGTCCTGTGACGGTTCTCCATCTAAGAGACCTCACCACCTGAGGAACCAGAGTATATCTACCATTTGATGAAAAGAATCCAAAACTCCCGTCTACTACCTAGTCACTCATTGACGTATCACTGATCAGCATCCAGCTAACCAGCCTCTGATACTTCCCCATCACAACTCCACATTGGTCAACACACACAAGTTCCCCAGCACCTTCTGTACACTTAAAAACACACCATCAACTAGCATGCCACATAGCTTCAATTCTGCCAAACTGCACACTCATGGCCGACATAAGTCCATTCTAGAAAATCACTCTGACAGAATAATGAATTCCGACTCATGATCCACCCCAATCATCCAGACAGCTCGCATGAGCTCCACAGAATAAAACATTGTTATAACTGCCACACCACAATTCGCGCACACGTCCACACATTTAGACTGACTGAAAGTGCCTGACTCAAAGACCACGCACTTTCTCTGACAGCAGTCAGTTACACGTGGATCTTACATTCCTCACACAACTCAGGGTGAAGCTGCAAGTGGCTCAAATGTTTACACTCACAGCTCATCAATACAAAATGAATGCCCATGTGTACCCATGCTTCATTAACTCTTTATACCTCACAATGTTTACACTAAGTGTTCATTATCTTTATCGTTTGCTGGTGTTGATTTTAGTCTTGTTTGAGGGAATCTCAAGAGGTGTATAAATCTTGCACACAACAGCGCTGTTGGCCATTATCATAACATGTGACTGTCATGTCTTCAGTGTCACCCATGCATCATCTCCTTGAGCTTCCTCCTGCAGCTCACCTGAGATGTAGCTTGAAAAAGTGTCTTTTGATTTGCGCTTGTTTATTTATATGTCGAGCTTTTATTTAGTTGATGAGCTAACTGAAACTGTTGTCCTGACACCAGTCATTGTTCACATTGTAATGTAATTTGTTAAATATTTCACACAACAGCTCTCTGGCTAGTAGTCTGCTGAGCTCTATAGGAGATTTCCTAGAAAACGGCATCGATGACAACACACGGAGCCTGTACGATGTTGAAAATGCAGATTACGGAACAGAAGATGAAAATGACAGTGATGATGAAAGCGATAACATTGAAGATAGAAAAAATATGAAAAAGATAGTTGAAATGAAGTGAGTATAGTAGGTTTTATGAATTCTATAAATAATTTCAGGATAATATTAGACACAAAGTTAGTATGATAAGTTTTATTAATTTTAGCAATAATTTCAAAGAGTTGGTAGACAAAGTTTGTACCATGCATCAGATCACTATTCTCCACTGATACAATACAACAGATTGAAATATCTGTATCATAAATTCCACATTGATTGCTCACACATAAGTATGTAACACATATCTTTTGACACCATCACCAGTATTCTGTGGCAACTAATAAAGCCTGGATGGAACATGGAAGAAAATATTGGCAAGAGGGTATATTACAGAACAAGAAAATGGGATAAGGGAAGCCGGAAACATAAAAATAAATAAAAATGAGATAATAAAAGTATGTTTAACATTGCTGCCTGCAAGGCTGAAAAAACCAAAAGCGATTAGTGAAGTGATTTTCAAAATGCAGAGATGGCTGAATTGGTCACTGGAGCAAGATTTTTTTTTTTTAAAAGCAGTAATAGAGATGTTGCTATTGCCTTGGTAGTCAGGTCTAATAAAATGGGGAGGAAACTGTTTTAAAGGCCACTTCATTCTTTCAGTTCAGCTTAACTTTTAGTAATTAATGTGAATAAATATGCCACCAGTAAACTTTGGTCTGCTGAAAACTGTACTGGAGGGGTGGGGATGTCAGAAACCTGAAACTAGCTATTGTTTTTATTGGAGTCAGTAACCTGTGCTGGAGTGCCAGTGAGGAAGATTAAGGAGAAAAAGTACTAAAGGGCATCTTGAGAAATGAGAGAGGATAGTTTCAGGAATAGTTGGATGCTGATTGTTCCTATAATGGTCTCATACTAGCAGATGATAAAAGGTCAAAGTTTAGAACTCATTTCCATGCCTCAGTGCAAAGCAGGTATAATGTGGTAGCTTTTTTTTTTAAATGACCAAGTGACACTTGATAGGTGTTCATTATCTTTATCGTTTGCTGGTGTTGATTTTAGTCTTGTTTGAAGGAATCTCAAGAGATGTATAAATCTTTCCCTGATGTACTGGAGGGAATAATGGGCAGTGGGACGGTTAGCGATGAACTGACTTATGTTGAGAATACCCTTTGACAGATTTAAAAAAAAAGAAAGAAATGAAGATGTCTTGAAAGAAGCTGATTCACGAAGACAAACTTATTGCCCACATCAGGAGAGAATCTATATTCTTGGTTCATGTTCTGAAAAGGAGAAAACTGTAGTATATCGTTACTGTAGGCAAGTTGTGTGGGAAGAGAGGCAGAGAGAGACCGAGAGAGAAGATGCTGGACAGTTTGACATCTTGGCATGGAAGATCATTTGTGTCAGTACACAAGACAGAATGTTGTGGATAGACATGACTACCAGCATCACAAGGTATGGACTATAAAAAGAAAACAGGAGACAGAAGGCTGTGGATTAGATATAACTACTGTAATGAAGTCACTTTCTCTCCTCTCATAAAGATGTTCCTATAGAGAAGTGTCTCCTTTATTTTACTGAGTCTCTCTCTCGTACATGCTTCCACACATGCTCATTCGACCCAGATCATTGTCTGGGGGTCAGTAATGTAGAATAGACGAGGCAGACTATCTTCCATCAGTGATCACACTACTCCAGATGATAGTTGACGATGATGCTGACTAATTCAAGGTTGATTACTTCTCAAATATATTCTGGACAAGAATCACATGCTGTCATGTTTGGACACACCGTCACACCACTATTAACGCAGGCCTGCATGCAGTCAATACCAGCCACAGTTAATCGGACACTGCCATTGTTCTCAGATATTCTTTAACCTAGAATTACCACTGTTGGTTCGTAGTCACACAGAAATCAAGTTCCACTCCATTTCAAGTCGAACACACTTACATTCCGAACACTCTAATTCATCTGAACTCTCTGGGGCCCACTCGCAGAAAGACCACATCATCTGCAATCCCCCAGATCTCGCAATCCCCCAGAATACGCAATCCCCCAGATCTCGCAATTCTCTCAGATCTCACAATCCTCTAGATCTCGCAATCCCCCAGATCTCGCAATCCCCCAGATCTCACAATCCCCTAGAACTCGCTCGCATTCACACTTGAATAGCTCAATTCCACCTTTTCACCATTTCCCCGTGAAACCCATGTTTCTCACACTAGGGACTTATCCAGTGCTGTCAGTCAGTCGTACCTTGAAGTTATCCCTATTTATAGCGTCATTACAACTACCAACACCACAAGGCATGGACTATTAGAAAGTTTTTATGAACAATTCTTTTTGTTTTAGACAAAATGTTCAAGGCATCCTGCGCAACTTTAAGAATTTATTCAATGAGGCTAGAGAAAGAGCATCCAAAGCACTTGGATTTGCCAAACTATTGAGAAAGGTATGTGCGTTACAAACGCTAATTTCTTACGAGACAGGTTTATTTTTTTTTAAATTGTATCTGTAGAAAGATATGTGTATAGCAAACTTTTTTTCCAGAGAAAGATATGTATGTGAAAAAAATTAGTTTCCCCCTACTAAGGTATGTGTGTAACAGATTGGAGTTTTGCCTAGAGAAAGATGAATCTGTAACAAAGTTTGTTTTTTTGGAGACAGGTATACGTATAATAAATGGTTTTGTTCTTTTTCTAGAGAAAAGAATTTGAGTAACAGATAGTTTATTTTTTTTTTTTGCCAGAGAAAGGTATTTGTGTAACAAATTGTTTTTTTTTTCTAGAGAAAGGTATTTGTGTAATAAATTGTTTTTCTAGAGAAAGGTATCTGTATAACGGATTAGGGTATGTGTGTAGCAATTGATTTTTTCCCCCTGGGAAATGTATGTGTGTAACAAACTGATTTTTTTATAGAAAGGTATTAACAAATGGTTTTTTTGTTGTTTGTTTTGTTTCTGTAGAAAGGTGTGTGTGGAACAAATTTTTTTACCCCCTAGAGAAAAGTAAGTATGTAACAAACTGGATTTTTCCTATTGAAAGCTATGTGGCTAACAAATCTGTTTTTAATTTTTTTTTTATTTTGGCGCAAAAGATATGTGTGTAACAAATTTTTTTTTTCTAGAATAGTCATGTGTATAGCTAGCAGGTTTTCCAGAGAAGGTATATGTGCTGTGTGTAAGTAGCAGTTTTAATAGAGAAGGTATATGTGTAACTAGCAGGTTTTACTTAAAAAACATTGTGTAGCTTGATGGTTTTTCATGAGAGGACATTTGTATAACTGCTTTTTTTTTTTTTCACTTCTAGAGGTAGGTATTTGTGTAACTAGCTGTTTTTTTTTTTTTTTTGGTGATTGCTTCCAGAGATAGGTCTGCATAAAAATAAGCCAGATCGGTAAAACAGATGTGCACACAAAACTCAGATTCTGGAACAAAAATCTAAAAAAGTCTAGAAAATGATGAACAACCAGAACTTTCTGCTGGAGTTTACAGCCAGTGAATGCAAGAAGAAAAATATTTATAATACCATTCTGTAGCCTTACACAATAATCAGCTTCAAAATTTCGCATGCTCCAATTTCAATTCCAGTTTGTGAGAAACAAAAATTCCAAACTTGATCCTTTGTCAGTCACCCGTAGGCCTGCTATATGAAGGAAGGTTCCTTGGCTATCTTATTTGGTGTCCTTTTATTTGTGGTGTGAAGTCACGTCTGATATTCCTTTTCTTTGTCTTCCTAAGTTCAGTGGGGGATTTGGAGTCCTGGGTCCTGATCTGGTCCGGTTCTCTTTAACTCCTGTCCCTGTGGGTTTTTGCTGATTGTTGCCAGTGCTTGGTTAAACCGTGCTGGTCGCCAAGCTGGTGCCCTATTGCCAGGTGCTGGGTTACCCCTCTGTGAAGCTAAGGGCAAACAGACATTTAATTGTGGTTGTTTTAGAAATGCCAGGTCAGATGATTTGTTTGCCATTATATGGCTTATGGGCTGGATGTCTCCCATTCCTGTTGTATACTGCTATGCTTAATAGTGGTACTGAGTGATCTACATCCACATCTACTTGTCTGTTTACATGATGTTCTTTGTTGTCTACAGGACCTAGAGATTGCTGCAGATTTCAACATTACTGTGGCAACTGCAGAACTCTTTGCCAGACTGATAGAAACTCACCATGTCCAGGTGATTTACTTGCTCTTCACCACCACCACCATTATCATCTTCATTAGTTATTAGCTCCATTGTATCATGTCACTCCAGTAACAGCTCATCATAAAAGACTCTTGGCAGTTGCCCCACCTGATATACTTCCATACCCAAGATGTCTCTGTCCTGTGCCCATCTGTGTGGTCATGCACCTCTGTCGTTGCTGGCAGAATTTGTGGTTTTCACCAGTCAGTCATCAGTCAGGAACATTACCACATCAGAGCCACACTTGAATCACACTTGTATTAATTTCACAGGAGCCTACAGATTACAAAGTATAGATAACAAATACACTGCCAGATTTAATCAGCGTGCTGTTGCCTAAACCTGAATGCAGTCACACATGACACTGACTGAGACACATGGAGAAGCAAGCCATACATGATGTGTTGTTTGGGTAGAATGTGTTGATGTATCTAGATTGTTGAACTTACCAAATAACTTATAGACACTGATACCCATATTATGGTTTAACTCTTTGAGGACTAATCACCAGTTAACTGGCTTTTGAATTTCTCCCAATCGGGCTGTTGACCAGTAAAATGATAAACAAGTTGGGAGAGCTAATTGTCTTCTTTTTCTTCTTAGCATTCACTGTCTGTGAATTCCAGTGGAGGGTCCTGGTTGTTCGTCTATTTGCACTTCGACTTTTGCACCAGGCCCTGAGTTTTGCATGTACATCTGTTTTACTCTAGAGCTGATTATATCATTTGAAGTCATTCTGTGGAGCTAGAGATAAGGAAGAATGCAAAGTAATAAAGAATCAAGATATGATAGATGACTTACACAAACAACAATAGAGGCAGGACATCTGGCTTATGAAAAATGTTATGGAAAATAAAGGGAGTCCATGTAATGTTAACCACATGAGCCATCAAGTGGTGGTTGGTCAATACAACAATGAGTCTAGCATTAAATGCCCGATGTACCACTGACTTTAAAAGGGTCGTTGACTGTTTAACACTTAACACTACTATCGATACCAGAGCCTCTGCTCCTGACTACCACAAGCAGATCATTGGCAGCAGTCAGTGTGCAGACATGACTACTCTTACAGGAGGACTACCCTTACACACAGGCCTACCCTTACACACAGGCCTACCCTTACATACAGGACTACCCTTACACACAGGACTATCCTTACACATAGGACTACCCTTACACACAGGACTACCTTTACACATAGGCCTACCCTTACACACATTACCCTTACACACGGTCCTACCCTTATACACAGGACTACCTTTACACACACAAGACTACCCTTACACACAGGGCTACCCTTACACACAGGACTACCCATCACACAGGCCTACCCTTACATAGAAGCCTGTCCTTACACACGGGCCTACCCTTACACCCAGGCCTACCCTTACACCCAGACCTACCCTTACACACAGGCCTACCCTTACACACAGGCCTACCCTTACACACACACAGGACTACCCTTACACACAGACCTACTTTTACACACAGACCTACCCTTAAACACAGGACTACCCTTCACACAGGCCTACCCTTACATAGGAGCCTGTCCTTACACACAGGCCTACCCTTACACACACACATGACTATCCTTACACACAGGACTACCCTTACATACAGGACTACCCTTACATAGGAGCCTGTCCTTACACACAGGCCTATCTTTACACACATCCTACCCTTACACACAGGCCTACCCTTAAATAGGAGCCTACCCTTACACACAGGCCTACCTTTACACACAGGCCTACCCTTACACACAGGCCTACCATTACATAGGAGCCTGTCCTTATACACAGGACTACCCTTACATTGGAGCCTGTCCTTATACACAGGACTACCCTTACATTGGAGCCTGTCCTATACACAGGACTACCCTTACATTGGAGCCTGTCCTTATACACAGGACTACCCTTACATTGGAGCCTGTCCTTATACACAGGACTACCCTTACATTGGAGCCTGTCCTTATACACAGGACTACCCTTACATTGGAGCCTGTCCTTATACACAGGACTACCCTTACATTGGAGCCTGTCCTTATACACAGGACTACCCTTACACAGCACTTGATAACAGCCATGTATTAAATATGATGAGTTGGTTTGTGTTCTTTACATCTTCATCATAACCATAAAATGCCTTGCTACCTGGCATGGGTGATCATGCCTCTCCACAACCTGTGATTCTCAGCTGTCAGCTCAATTGCTGACATCCCTCCATGCCATGACAAAAAGCTATCAAGAATCGTCTACCGTTGTCTTCCTCTGTCTCTCTTTCCACAAATCTTTCTGTTGTTCACAAAATGTTTCAGTTTCTTTCTTCTCATAACATGTCCAGAAAAAGATATGTGTTATTTCAAAAAGTGAATACTTCATTATCTACATACTTACTCAGTATAGTATCTACATACTTATTGAATATAGTATCTACATACTTATTGAGTATAGTATCTACATACTTATTGAGTATAGTATCTACATACTTATTGAGTATAGTATTTACATACTTATTGAGTATATTATCTACACACTTATTGAGTATAGTATTTGCATACTTATTGAGTATAGTATCTACACACTTACTGAGTATAATATCTACATATTTATTGAGTATAGTATCTACATACTTATTGAGTATAGTATCTACATATTTATTTAGTATATATAGAGTATCTACATACTTATTGCGGCGTCCGTGGCTAAGGCGTTGCGAGTCCGACTCGTAAGCCAGCATACCGCGATCGAAACCTGCGTGGGCTGCGTGGATTTTTATCGTGGTATGGGACGTCGCAGGTCGACCCAGCCTAAAATGGGTACCAGGATGGGCTGTCCTGGGAAAGTAAAGACAGCCGGCGTAATGCTGACCACATTACCCACAGAGTGCTGATGGTCTGTAAAAATATGGGACGCTCTGCCCATATGCCCGATGCGCCGAAAGGCGTGAAAAGGGAACTTTACTTTTTTTTTTTTTTACATACTTATTGAGTAATCTACTTTATATTTGAATTTTTAGGTAAAAGTCCAGTTAAGTGCAGGCTATATGATGTTCATCCCTGAAAACATCGTCTCCAACAAGCAGTTGATCCTGCAGCTGCTGAACGTGACTTCTGGCCGTGAAGATCCAGCTGACCTGACTACCAAAGTGGATGGGTATTTGTTGATGATCAGATGTGACAGTGTGATGGACACACACAGAGTTCAGCCCAAGTGGAGTGGCAGGGTTATCAATGTTGAACCGACCGCAGAGACTGCCATTGCTCTCTCACATATAGAGGTTTGTTATGTGAGATTGAACAGAAGAAATGTATTGTTGATAGCAGGTTGGTTGCCTAGCATGAGATGTGTGGTAAGCTCTTCCAGATCATCCCCTACCATTGTGTACATGTGGTTATGTTGCTCTTTCACATCAACACCTACCATTGTGTATTATATTTTCTTACTTTTTACATAGCATACTACATAAACCAACAGGAAAGCTGTTTCTTGAATGGTCAAGAATGCTAGGCTTCCATTTGAATTCTCAAACAGTGATGAATTCTCAAACAGTGATGAATTTTGTTCTGTCCAGGGCACAAATAGTATCCTAATCTGCAAAGTCTGTGGTGAGTGTACTAGCCATGCGGCCCTTTTTGACCCCTCACCTTTCCCATTCTATACAACAAAGTTCCACATTTATTGCCTGGGTTGTTTCACTTTCTTTCAAAGAAGACCCCTTTCCATGCCTCTAGGCGTATTGGGAATTTAGGGTTGGAACTATATTTTTATAGAGGAATCAACACTTGGTGGGTGATGGGGTCAGCATCATGCTTGATGCCTTTACTTCCAAGGACTGCACCTGGTACCCACTCAAGGCTGGGTCCATCTGGAAGTCAAGGTCATTTTTGAAAACTTTCAAAAAGAGGGAGCATAAAGATGACTTATCACAAACATTTGGAAGAGACAATCATCATTTTGTGTGTGTGGCCATGTTGTGAGAAAAAAAAGAAACCGAAACATGTGACGACTAGAAAGATATGTGGAAAGAAAGAGAGGAAGACCATGTAAGAAGAATCTTGACAGCCGTGTATCGTGGCATGAAGGGTATTGCTATAAGAATTGATGCTTGCTGTTAGTCAGCAAGTTGTAGAGAGGTGTGGTCGCCCCAGTCACTCTCATAAGTATAGTTTCAGCAACAGTGTGGCAACCACCATTTTGTAGCAGCTAGGTGCTGGCTGCAGATCTGAAGGTCGTGAGTTCAAGGCTGCCAGGTTGACTCAGCCTTAGAGGGGTAGCAGGTATAAATTCCTGGGAAGTAAAGGTGGCCTGTGTAGTTGACCACATCACTCACCGACAGCCGATTGATCTATAAAACTTTGTCTAGCCTGATGTGTCTGGCATGTGATGGGATGTTACTTACTCAACAGTATTGTTTGTGTCCTCATTATTTCATGTTAACATGGGAACACATTGGAATTGTTTTCATGGGTGTACTTTCTGCACATTTCAGGTAATGAGCCTTCTGTTTGTAGTGACCCACTCTGGAATCCTGGCACAGCAGAGAAAGTACTTTGAGGCTCTTATGGGTAGAAAGGTCAGACTAGTCAACGAACAAACATCTTGCCATCAGTCTATAGCAGAGTCACTGTCAGAGCTCAAGGTCAGCCACTACATTTGATTGATTTATTCTGATCAGAGATCAGCATTATTTTCAGTAAAGTTAACAGTAAAGTTTGAATCTTGTCGCTCATGGTAAATATGTGCCTTGCATTTGTCTCAGCGAGAACTTTGGATAAGCTTTTGCCAGTCAGGGCTCAAAGTTGTGTTTGTGCCAGCCAGAGCTCTTCTTCTTCTTCTTCTTCTTCTTCTTGGGTTTGCTTTCTGATATACATGGACAGATGAGTTCTTGTGATAAACTTGACTGTTTTTAAGAGGTTTCCTTTTTAGTTCCATACAATTTTGAGTGCAGGTAGGTACAAGTTGGGCAGCGAATGTAAAAACCCTAAAGAAAGTTTATAATGGAGCGATAAGACCTTACTTGGAGTTTGGTCCAACAGATTGGTCAACAGCTGCTAATTGCCATTTACAGTTGTTAGACAGAGTGCAAAATCACAGGATCCATGAAAACTGCACCAATCCTGGAGATGCAGAAAATAACTGCAATGCAGACATTGTCCTATAGAAGAGACACTAATACTATGATCCAGATGGAGTTCAATAGTATGCAGTCACACCCAATGAATGGAGGGTTAGATGATCTGGGCGCGTCTCAAACATAGCAGCTTTGTCCATAGGGGGAAAAACATAGAAGGAGAAGACAGTACTAAGCAGATCTATTCATGAGAACAACACCGCAAAAAACCTACCTTTTACCTTTTACCCTGAGAGCAAGTCAGCAACACAATATATAATGACTTCAGATAATGACTTCAGTCAATGGTCTCACCGCTGGAGATGAGTCCAGTGACCTACAGAAATGAACAGTTGCTCTCAGCATGATCCAGGAAAACTATCCCGAACAGTCGTGGATACATGCTTACACGGATGGGTCGGCAACCAGTGTGGTTTAAAATGGGGTGGCTGGCATCTTTATCACATATCCAGACAACCACCGCCATACAGAGTATATACCCACCAGTAAAATCTACCAGAGCCCAGAATTAATTATTATCTTGTATGTGTCCTGGTAACTACTTAGAATTAATACTTGTCTTGTATTCTTTCCTGCCAGAGGTCAGAATTAATTATTATCTATCCTTGTTACGACTTAGAATTAATGATTGTTCTGTATTTTAACCTGCGAGAGCTCATAATTAATTGTTATATTGTATTTGTCCCTTTACTAACTCAAAATTAATGGTTATCTTGCATTTGTTTCTGCCAGAGCTCAGAATTAATTGTTATCGTGTATCTATCCCTGTCAGAACTCAGAATTAATAGTTATCTTGTATTTGTCCCTGTCAGAACTCAGAATTAATGGTTATCTTGTATTTGTCCCTGTCACAACTCAGAATTAATTGTTATCTTGTATTTGTCCCTGTCACAACTCAGAGTTAATAGTTATCCTGTATTTATCCCTGCCAGAGTTCAGAATTAATTATCTTGTATCTCTCCCTGTGACAGCTTAAAATTAATTATCCCTGTCACAACTTAGAATTAATTGTTTATCCCTGTCACAACTCAAAGTTAATGTTTATCCTGTATTTGTCCCTGCCAGAGAACAGAATAAATGTTTTTGTTGTATCTGTTTCTGTAAAAACTCAAAATTAAAGGTTATCATATATTTGTTCTTGCAAGAGTTCAGCATTACACAAAGAGCATAACCTGTCTGTAAGTCACATGCAAGTCTTGAAGACACAGGCCATGCCTGGGTGCCACGTCCTGTCTGTAAGTCACATGCAAGTCTTGAAGACACAGGCCATGCCTGGGTGTGATGTCCTGTCTGTAAGTCACATGCAAGTCTTGAAGACACAGGCCATGCCTGGGCGCCACGTCCTGTCTGTAAGTCACATGCAAGTTTTGAAGCCACAGGCCATGCCTGGACGCCACGTCCTGTCTGTAAGTCACATGCAAGTCTTGAAGACACAGGCCATGCCTGGGCGCCACGTCCTGTCTGTAAGTCACATGCAAGTCTTGAAGACACAGACCATGCCTGAATGTGATGTGCTGTCTGTAAGTCACATGCAAGTCTTGAAGACACAGGCCATGCCTGGGCGCCACGTCCTGTCTGTAAGTCACATGCAAGTCTTGAAGACACAGGCCATGCCTGGGCGCCACGTCCTGTCTGTAAGTCACATGCAAGTCTTGAAGCCACAGGCCATGCCTGGGCGCCACGTCCTGTCTGTAAGTCACATGCAAGTCTTGAAGACACAGGCCATGCCTGGGCGCCACGTCCTGTCTGTAAGTCACATGCAAGTCTTGAAGACACAGGCCATGCCTGGGTGTGATGTGCTGTCTGTAAGTCACATGCAAGTCTTGAAGACACAGGCCATGCCTGGGCGCCACGTCCTGTCTGTAAGTCACATGCAAGTCTTGAAGACACAGGCCATATCTGGGCGCAATGTCATGTCGACAGTTCAAGGTGTGGCATCTCCAGTGATTCTGATGTTTAATCAGCGACAGCACCATTTGATGATTCTTGGAACAACATCTGGCTGAAAGAAAAATTATGTATTGCAGCAGAGAAGTGACACTGCTTTGCTTGTCGCTTGCCACTGCTAACAGTTGAAGGAAGATCATCTCAAATTCAAGTCACCAAGTAAGGCCTCAATAATAGTGATGAAAATAACACAACAGGACACGTATAGAACATAGGAAATCCCATGGAAACGGCCAACGGCATGAATGGGAGCCGACACAAAATCTCGCTAGCGGCAAGATGTGGGCAAGTTCATGATATATACCTTTAATTAAAAAAATTAGAAAATAACCAGTACAGATATGTAATGATTTCTAACTGATCCTATGTATATGCACTGCTTCTATTTCAGACTAATGCAGTTGATTTAATGGTCAAAATATCGCAGGCTATACAACAAGTGAATGAAAAACTCAATTTGAACAATATCATACTTAACGAAGACAGCATTTTAAAGCTTTACAGGGAGACCATGTTGAAAATTTATGATTTTGGTTTTGAGGTAAGCTGATGATTTGTACTATAAAAGTTGTTGGTTCTGTTTATTGATTTAACATACTTTTATTGTTTACTTTATTCACTTGAAAAAAAAACCACTTAGATACAGAAGTTCTTTGAGGAGCATATGTCCCTCAGTTCAGAAAGTTGCCTTTTATTAGAAAGGTAGCAGTCAGAGAATCATCATCATCCTGTAGCAGGGCCTTTACAGAACCTTGCTCCCATCACAGCCTGTCAGAAACAAACTCAGTCCCTTGCAAGCTCTCCCGCCTCATACTTTTCTAAGATATCTCTTATGTATTGTGTCCACATTTTCACTGGTCCGCCCCTGCTTCTCTTACCATCACTATACCATCCACTAGTTACTGTTCTTATCAAACTATTGCGATGTTTAACATGGACAAAATTTGTCCAGCTGCTAAGATAAGATGCTGTTGACTAGTCAGTTTTCTTCGCTGTTCAGATCTTTTAGAATATCAGCATTTTTTTTTCTTCTTCTTGGTGTTTATTTTTCTAAAAATCTTTCTATAGCATTTCAGCTTAAATAAATAATATGAATGAATAATAAATAAAATAAACTTAATTTCAGAGTCAGGTATCATTCTGTAAATTGACTTACTACACCTGACAAGCATTTTTCAAGAGTTGATTAATTAGGGATGTTTTCTTCGAAATCGAAGAGCATCTGCCATATAGGGTGCAACCAATTGTCTGCAAATAATTGAATCAGATCTGTAAGATGAATGTAAACAATGTTGTCCCTTTGTAGGATGAAATTTTTTGTTATTTGAAGCCCCACCCCGGCTTTTGCCGGGGGCCCTGAATATATAACTGGGCCACAATTGTGGCCATAACAGCTGAAAGGGGTTTCTGGGACCTCTCCACGAGTGATCTCATCCGCATGGTGGCACTTTGTGTCGCCAGCTTTTATCGCTTGTGTGATGTCCTGGCGGGGTACAATGAGCAAGCAAGCAAGATGAATATGCATGCAACATTCAGGTTCTGGAACAAGACTAAAGTCCAGAAGTGGATGAACAACCAAAACTTTCCACCTGAGTTTACAGCCCGTTAATGTGAAGAAGAAGACAGTGTCATTCTGTTTTTTAATAGCAATGTTTACAGAGATTTCAAGGAACGAACGAACGAACTTGATTTTCAAAGGGTTACAAATTGGGCACGCAGGCCTGTCTGACATTCGGCCCTTCTAAGCACTCATTTTTCAGAGTACCAGTGCCTGTTATCAATAATGCATGTTATGGATATAATAAAGAAATATACATTATAGAATAATGCATACACACATCATGTGTACACAATCGTATACACACACACGTATACATACTCTTATATTCTCATACATACACACTCATATACAGAAATATGTAATACATATATACACACATCTACATACATGCACAAACATAAAACACACACACATACATAAATACATAAACATACATGCACACATACATTCCATACATACACACCTACACATACATGCATGCATACACACACATACAATCACATGTACAGACACCCACATACGCCCACAACCACATATTTACACTCACATGCATACATACACCCACATACATGCATACATACACTCACATACATGCATACATACACACATCTATACATACACTCATATCTTTACACACGTACATACCTAAATACACACACATACACCCACATACACCTACATACTTACACAGCTACATATGCTTACATACATCCACCAACATGCATACATACACACACAGATACATACATGCATACATACACCCACATACATGCCCACGCACATAACATACATACACACTCATGCATGCATACACACATATACAATCACCTATACAGATACCCACAAACATTCATACATACACACATGCATACCTGCATACATACATACATACTTGCATACATTATACACACACACACACCCACAATCACTCATACACTCAGAAACCATTGCTGCAGCTATGAAGATAATGCTTTGTGTGACCCTGTCTGCAGATGGCTAACCATTCTGTGAAGAGGGACTGAGCCATCTGGTATAAAAAACCAAGAGCAATGAATTTGATCCTCCCTATTGACCTTAAACCTTTTTTAAACTTTTTTGTGTGTGTTAGTATCAGAGAGAGCTGATGCGACTTGTATCAAGGGACCAAAGAGAAAAGATGTGCCACATGACAGTGTCCTTTGCCAAGAATTGGATGAGCTTTGTCATTGATAAGTGTGAGCGAGGCAGGGGAACGCGTCCAAGGTTAGTTGGCTATTTTTGCTCTGCCTGATTATATCATTTCAGGTGCTTCAGGCACCTCATTGGCAATCTTAGTTTTAGCTTCATTGCAAACTGGTCTCATCGTAATTGCTCAGCTCCTGTGCTAACGCAAAAACACAAGAGTTTCCCCATCACAGTCCCTTGTGGAAAATTGACACAGACTACTGTCTCAGCATGTCTACTAGCATACACACACACACTAAAAGCATAAGGCAGCTATCAGAAATGCTAACACAAACAGTCCAACATCTTGGCTGAAGCAGCAGTTACAAAGATCAGCAGTTGCACACACAATAATTTTAATCACATAAGGCACCACCAGTAGTAGTAATTTTACCTCACCAGGACATCACACAAGCGATAAACACCCGATGACACAAAGTGCCACCATGTGGATGAGGATCACCGTGGAGAGGTCCCAGAAACCGTGTTCAGCCATTAGGCCACATTTGTGGCCGGGCTATATTGCGGCCCCTGGCAAGAGCCAAGGTGGGGGTTCAAAATGACGAAAAATTGCATTTCACAAGGGGATGACTGACATAGGCACCACCAGTTCTTTGGCACAAGACAATTCGTTTTCTGAATCTACAGTTCATAACTCAATCTACAAGCACTCAACTCAGTAGCTGAGTGGCAAAATTATATCCTTTCCGGCTACGAATGGAGTAAAATTTCTGTCCAGTGCAAAAATTTGCCATGACTTAAAACAGTGAATGTGCCTAACCTCCATTTTGACCAGAAACTGTCCAGGTACCTTTGCTTTTAGCACCTCATTTCAGGGTCTGCCTGATTATGTCCCTTTAGTTGCTTCATGTGTCTAAGAGAGAGAGAAAGAGGGACGTGTCTTTTCCCTAGAATATTGTCTCTGGTTTTAAATATACTGTCTAACTCACTTGGTGTTGCATGTGAAAATGGGAAATCTTGATTCACATCTTAGTGGCAACATACAGACCCCATACCTGCACCATTGTTGTAGCAGAGACAACAACCTTCTTGTGGCTAGCACTGCATGCTCTCAGTAATCTAGCCAAGTCTAACCAGAAAGAATTACTGTCACATATTTAGAGTCAGTCATCTACCATATCTCATGCTCCAGTTCGGACAGCATCATCCATGACATAAGAGACTGTGGTCTCACAAACAAAACATTGGTGCAGAAGATACCACCAAATGAGGTGGAAAGAGTGATGCACTGATAAAGCTGCAAGAAACCTTGCACTGCCCCATCATCCCATAGCCTTTCAGAGGTAAAGACACATTAGAGCTGTGAGGTGAGGTTATCACACATTCTATACCAGACATTTTAGCTGGGATGTGAGGTCATCACACATTCTATGCCAAACATTTTAGCTGGGATGTGAGGTCATCACATATTCTATGCTATACATTTTAGCTGGGATGTGAGGTCATCACACATTCTATGCCAAACATTTTAGCTGGGATGTGAGGTCATCACATATTCTATGCTATACATTTTAGCTGGGAGGTGAGGTCATCACACATTCTATGCCAAACATTTTAGCTGGGAGGTGAGGTCATCACACATTCTATGCCAAACATTTTAGCTGGGAAGTGAGGTCATCACACATTCTATGCCAAACATTTTAGCTGGGAGGTGAGGTCATCACACATTCTATGCCAAACATTTTAGCTGGGAGGTGAGGTCATCACACATTCTATGCCAAACATTTTAGCTGGGAGGTGAGGTCATTACACATTCTATGCCAAACATTTTAGCTGGGAGGTGAGGTCATCACACATTCTATGCCAAACATTTTAGCTGGGAAGTGAGGTCATCACACATTCTATGCCAAACATTTTAGCTGGGAGGTGAGGTCATCACACATTCTATGCCAAACATTTTAGCTGGGAGGTGAGGTCATTACACATTCTATGCCAAACATTTTAGCTGGGAGGTGAGGTCATCACACATTCTATGCCAAACATTTTAGCTGGGAAGTGAGGTCATCACACATTCTATGCCAAACATTTTAGCTGGGAGGTGAGGTCATCACACATTCTATGCCAAACATTTTAGCTGGGAAGTGAGGTCATCACACATTCTATGCCAAACATTTTAGCTGGGAGGTGAGGTCATCACACATTCTATGCCAAACATTTTAGCTGGGAGGTGAGGTCATTACACATTCTATGCCAAACATTTTAGCTGGGAGGTGAGGTCATCACACATTCTATGCCAAACATTTTAGCTGGGAAGTGAGGTCATCACACATTCTATGCCAAACATTTTAGCTGGGAGGTGAGGTCATCACACATTCTATGCCAGATGTATGTGGTAAAGTGCTTAGTTTACTTCCTTACCCTCTGATCCTAGAAATAAAATCACAGTTAGGTACCTATTTCTATAAACTGGATCTTAAATCTGCCCTGGTGGGAACACAATCAGGCCACACAACAGAATAGATTGCTCTCAATGTATAAATCTGTGTATGGGTTTTTCTCTTCAGGTGGGCGACCCAGGGCTTAGAATTTATCACCATTGCCTGTGAGCCAAAGAATATTGTCTACCTGACAGATGAAGAATTCCAGGTATGTTTTATGCTTTGTTTGTGTATCATACATTTCTTTTTAGTTTCCCAGCCATATGATCTCTTCTTTGTGCCATTATCCCCAGTTGGGAAACTAATTTCAGGTGATGTAAGTAACTTTGATGTAAGTAAATGGAAAAGTTGGCTTCCAAACTTTCATGTAAGTAAATGGAAAAGTAAGTTTTTTATACTTTTATGTAAGGAAATGGAAAAGTAAGTTTTTACACTTCCATATAAGTAAATAGAAACTAAGCTTCCACACTTTCATGTAAGTAACTGGAAAAGTAATCTTCCACACTTTTATGTAAGTCAATGGAAAAGTAAGTTTCCAATCTTTCATTAGGTAAATTAAAAAGCAAATTTTAACACTTTTATATAAGTAAATGAAAAAGTAAGTATAACATTTTTTTTTAAGTAAATGGAAAAGTAAGTTTTAACATATTCATATATGTAAATGGAAAAGTAAGTTAAACACTTTTATGTGAGTAAATGTAAAAGTAAATTTTTACACTGTCATGTCAGTCAGCAGCCTGTCATTTTCAGAACCTTGCTCCCATAACAACATTCCAGAAAACTTCTTGATCACAAGCAAGATGTCCAGCGTCCGATACACCCATCTGGAGATCATCCGCCACATTCTGCACCTATCTTCTATTTGACGTTACTCCTCCTCTCTTCCAAGGCATATACCCCTCCATTATTGTTCTCTCTAAACTTTTGTGACGTCTCAAGTGACCAAAATATTTCAATTTTCTGTGTCCTAATAGCCAACTTTCTTCAGTATTCAGTTCTTGAAGTATCGATGCATTTGTTCTTTTCTTAACCTATGAAATTCTTAAAACATGTCAATAACATTTATATTCAAAGTTATTTATGCGCTGTTCAGCTTGTTTAGTAAGTGTCCAGGTCTCACAGGCATACGTTGCAATGGGAAAGATGCAAGCTCCTAGCAGTCTAATTTTTGTATAAGGAAATAGAAAAAATAGAAAAGTAAGTTTCCACACATAAAAGGAAATAGAAAAAATAGAAAAGTAAGTTTCCACACATATAAGGAAATAGAAAAAATAGAAAAGTAAGTTTCCGCACATGTAAGGAAATAGAAAAGTAAGTTTCTACACTGTCAGAGAGCTGTGCACTACCTTAAAGGCAGTTGCTCTTTGGCAGCTCCTTAAGGAGGCATCTATCCTCAAACACAATTAACCCAACACCTCTAGATCATACACATCAGCCTTTAATGTAATTACAACCACCACTGGGCAATTCACCCCAGAGATGGTCTGCGTTACTAACCCCACCACAAACCTGCCTGGGTGCTTTACAGTTGCCACCAAGGCACTGGCCTTAGGGTTGCTAACCAGGTCCAAACCAACAGTCTCCAATACAAGCTCTTTCCCAAGTCTATACGTCAACTGTGGTGGCTCTGCATGGCTCTGGATAGTTTGGTCAGACAATGTCACTGCACTTTTATATAAGGAAATGGACAATTTAACATTTGACGCAGTAAAGCAAACCAAAAGGGGAGGAATATAATATGAAAATAAACACTACGAAGATGATAGGAAGACATAAAGACAATTTAGAAATTAAATTAAAAAACAACATCCTGAGACAAACAGAGGAATTTAAGTATTTTGGGAGCAATTTTTACATCCGACGGAAAACTGGACAGAGAAATTAGCTCCAGATGTGCCAAAGCTAATCAAGTAATGGGTCAACTATCTCCCCTGTTGACACACAAGCAGATACCTCAGAGTACTAAAGTGAATCTTATCAAAACTATTTTTTGGCCAACACTATGCTATTAATGCCAAACGTGGACACTTACATCCTCCAATGAAAGTAAAATTGTGACAACAGAGATTAAATGCCTTAGAAGAGCTGCAGGAGTTTCAAGGAAAGACAGAATACGAAATCATGAAATCAGATGAATGCTAGGAATAAAGTCAGTCTTACAAGTCATCAAAGAACAACAAATGAAGTGGTTTGGACACCTAACAAGACTGCCCTGGTACTATCCACCACAGCGAGCCACACTAAAACATTACAACGGGTATAGAGCTAGTGGAAGACCTCAGAATAGATGGAATGATGGCATTAAGAACAGCCTTACAGAAATGAACATCAGTCTTAACAGTGCTCTTGACAGAGCTCATCAACGAACATGACATTCCCCCCCCCCCCCCTCCCCCCCCCCCCCCCCCCCCCCCCCCCCCCCCCCCCCCCCCCCGACACTTTGATGAGGTAAAAGGTGGAAGAGAAGAAGAAGAAAGCAAACCAATTATTAGAATAGATAGCCCCCCTCTTACAGCATAAGACCCTGATCAGCACAAAGAAACATCTCATACAAAGAGAAAAGTCATTACAGAACCAGTGTTTCTTCTTCATTCTTCTTCTTATCCTTCTTCTTCTTTCTAATGTTCACGGGATGTAAACTCTGCAGCAAGTTCCTGACTTATTTATATGCAGACTGTTGGTTGCTTGTCTCTCAGGCAGTGCACTGACCTCTATGACAAGCTGATTGTGGAGGTAGTGGTCTATTCATTGTTCAACAAAATGGATCCCAAACCACTACACAGGGAAAAACCAGTTCCAACTTAACATATAAACACAGCAAATCAGATGGTTTGCCCACTTGGAGAGAATGCCTTATAATGTCATACCGTGCAAAGAATACTCTAAAAAGGGATAAGGATGTAAAGCACAGGGTGGACCAAGAATAAGATGGAAGGATAAATCAAAGAAACTCGTCAACAGCATGATGTGCCTATGGTTGGGGGCAGCAAGAAAAATCATAAGCAGAACCTTAAATCTTCCTCAACAACTGAGGCAGTCAAAGGAAGTGAAGAGGAAGGAATGGAAAAGAAACTTTCTTCACTTTGAGGCAGGATTGAGGTCTGTCTGGGGGGGGGGGGGGGGGTGTTATAAAGCAGAGAGAGAAACAGAGTCACCTACTGGTGAGTAAACAAGGGTTAGTCTGAGCCATTTTCTTGACCTTGAATTGTGTGCCTGCAGGACTTCCAGCATCGGATACTTGGCTGTCTCACTCATATCATTGGCTCTTCGGATAACCGGCACATTACACCAGGTCAGTTCGGCTTTTTTGGCATTAAGTATGCAAGATTGATTCATTATTATTGTCTGTGTTGATGTTGTTATTGCAGTGTTATTCGTTCTCTCTGTCATCAGTTTGCTGTCTTGACAGTTCACTCTTGTATGCAGTAAATATCTGTCATGCGTTCTTCCTTAAATATCTCACAGATGTGTTCTTCCTTAATTATCTGACAGATATGTTCTTCACTAATTATCTGACAGATGTTTTATTCATTAACTATCTGCATTCTTCCTTAATTATCTGACAAATACATTCTTCCTTAATTATTTGACAGATATGTTCATCCTGAATTATCTGACAGATATGTTCTTCCTTAATTATTTGCATTCTTCCTTAATTATCTGACAGATATGTTCTTCTTTAATTATCTGCATTTTTAAAAATTATCTGACATATGTTCTTCCTTAATTATCTGACAGATATGTTCTTCCTTAATTAACTGCATTCTTGCTTAATTATCTGACAGATATGTTCTTCCTTAATTATCTGACAGATTTGTTTTTCCCTAATTATCTCCATTCTTCCTTAATTAACTGACAGATGTTTTCTTCCTTAATTATCTGTTTACTGCTTTCACCAGTTACTACTTCTTATTCTTCTCTTGCTCCAGCCGCTATATTTTGTCTGCTCTTGTCCTATGTTTTATCAGTTCATCTTCATTTCTTCAACTCTTTCAGGACCTCATTTTTGTCTGGGGTTTGTACTGCATTAATCTTGAGCTGAATTGTTTGAAATACTTAGGTTTGACGTTTGATCACAGTCTGTCCTACAGATATTGCGTGGAGCAGACTGTGATCAAATTCAAGCATGGCCTAGCGGCACTGAAGACAGTGGTGGCGACACACATGGAACATAAATTATTGGTCTTATTGTTCAACCATTTGGTCCTTTCTGTAATAGAATATGGCCTAGGAATATTAACCCTATCTGTTTCACAGTGTGCAAAGCTTGAAAGGATTCAAAATGAAGGAATGAGATTCCTCTTGGGTTGCACAAGAGACACCCTAGTTAGAACAATGAGGTATATGCTTGGGCTGACATCGATAAAGTCTAGACTGTCACTGGGGCAAGCCAAGGCCTAAATGCAAGTTACCAATGATGAAAGGCATCCGCTGCATGGTAATTTGAACGATTTAAGAAAAGACCTTTTGAAAAGAAGAAAGCCATGGATGATACTAGCTAAAGATACCATTGAGATGGCGGCCTCTGTCAAGCAAATACACAGGGAACACATATGGGTCAACACTAACACCCACAACAGGAATTTCCATCAGGTCATTAACACGTTAGGAAAAGAATGTAGAGAGTGGTGTAACAATATGGCAGAATTAAAGGTACAACAACTGATAGACAACAAGGCTGGACTAGATCATGCAGCGATGGTTCTGTTCATCGGCGTGTAAGATCTGGCTGAGGATTTTCAGCTAGAATGAAGGGAACAATTGTGGCAGAACAAAACGAAGCTTTTTTATTTACAACATGAAGCATGAGAATGGAAGTGGAGGCAATCACTGCAGCTCTGAAGTGGATAGCAACAAACAAAGTTACCAGAGGAATTATTGTGTCTGATTCTCAGTCGGCATTGCGGAAGGTTCAAAACGGACTAATTTGGCATGAGTGGATACCATGCATCAGTACTCCAACATTGCAGGGAATCACGTGGATATACTGTCCGGGATATGCAGGGGTGCGAGGGAATGAAAGAGCGGATTTTCTGGCTAAAAAAGCGAAAGCTACTGGAACACTCGTATTGGACAAGGGAGATATTCTGAAAACCATATATGAACAACTGTTGGCAGAAGACACGAGATTAGATGAAATAACATGGGCAAGAATGTGTGAACGAGGAATTAAGTGTGGATCCTGCAAGGAGGGGGACGGCTGAGAGA